TTCCTTTCTTCAAAGTCTCCTTTTTTAAACTTCTACTCTGGGTACACCCTTTATGCTTAGAGCACCCTACTGGCTTATGTTTATCTATTTCTCTCCCAATCTTTTTTTAAAATCCCTTAAATCCCATTTCTTTTGTGAAGTTTTCCTATGCCAATCTTTTCAGTAGCAAAATATTTTTGTGCCTGTTTTCACTGGAAGTGGTGTTCCATGTTCAGATTTAGGCCTAAAAGTGTTGCCCCTTTAAATATGTGTAAACTTAAAGTCCAAAGTTTGATTCCCACTGTCTTTCTGACCAGCCTGGAGGCCTTGCCCCCTTTCTTTCCCTTTTGATAGATTTGCACTTCTGGGACCAGTTCTGGTGTTCCTCTGAAGGATGGGACTGCTTTTGTGCTTGGCTATTGGGTAGGATGCTGAAGGTAGAGGCTTTGCATAACCCCTACTCTGACCTTCATACCCATACGAGTATCAGGCACAATCTTAGTGAGCCTGTTTAATGAACATGGATTTGAATTCCAGACTAATGCCAAAAAGAGAGTCCTGAGTGTGATCTCCCCTATTCGCAGTGTGACCAAAAGTTGCTCCCACACTTTTAGCAGAACTTGGGTTTTGCTTCACCTGTGTCCACAAAGGATGGAATTCTGTTTCAATTAGCTTTTTCTAATAAACAATACTTATTGTTGCCTACAATGACCACTTGATTGGCTAGTGAGAGCCCTAACTTTTCTATGTGAAAGGAAGTGCTCTGGTAAACTTGAACACGGTCTCAATGGGATCACTCTCGTGGATAGCATTCCTAGCTAAGTGCATACCTAATTCTTGGAAACTTTTAAATAGGGATTGCGGGGGACAAAGAACAGAGAGAACCCTTTTAATTCCATTGAAATACACCAGCCTAGGAGTGAAGGAAAGGATTTTGGAAAGAATGAATCATAAACAGTATACATTTTTCAAAAGGAAAAAAAACAAAAACAAAAACAAGGAACAGGTACTGTCCCTCTCATAAGGAGCTTTATCTCACAGGTTTTTTCTGACCTCAAGCTTTAACTGCCAAAGACTGCCTGAGGAGAATACTTATGGTGGTTCTAAAATACTTTGAGCCAAATTCTCTGTGGGCATAACTCTATTGACTAAAGCAGAATTACACCTGCAGAGAATTCTTTTAACAGAGACACACTCTAAGTTAGCATTTCTTTCTTAATGTATCTATCATTAAAAAAAAAACCTTACCTTTTAACCCTGGAAAACCCCGCATTCCTTCTATGCCAGGGAGACCAGGTACGCCAGGTGCCCCTGGTGCTCCTTTGTTACCAAGTTCACCTTTGTCTCCGGCCAGACCTTTCATGCCCACAGGACCAGGGAAACCTTGCTCACCTGGATCCCCTCTGGAACCAGCCAAACCTGTAACAGCCAATAGGAATAGCAAAATGCAGGACAATGTAGCACTTTAAAGACTAACAAGATGGTTTATTAGATGATGAGCTTTCGTGGGCCAGACCCACTTCCTCAGATCAAATAGTGGAAGAAAATAGTCACAACCATATATACCAAAGGATACAATTAAAAAAAATGAACACATATGAAAAGGACAAATCACATTTCAGAACAGGAGGGGGATGCAGGGGGGGGGGAAGGAAGGAAGGTAAGTGTCTGTGAATTGATGATATTAGAGGTGGGGAGAGGGGGATGTTTGTGAGCTAATGGTATTAGAGGTGATAATTGGGGAACTATCTTGGTAATGGGTAAAATAGTTTGAGTGTTTGTTCATTCCTTCTTGGAGAGTGTCGAATTTTAACATGAATGACAGTTCAGAGGATTCCCTTTCAAGTGCAGATGTAAAAGGTCTTTGTAGCAGAATGCAGGTGTGAACTTAGCTACGAACAAAGATCAACAGCATATAAGCAAAACGTTTTTCTTAGTAAAAAAAAAACGCCTGATATTGCAGAAGAGATGGGGCCATCGCAAGTTACAGACATCTCCAAACACTGCTTCATGAACAGACTTCTAATCCAGCCCGACTCTGTACCGAAGTTTCCCTTTTGCCTTCTCTTTGGTCTTCTAAGGATTAAATACTGGTTCTACTATGCATTCCCCATTCAAGCAGCTCTGCTTTCGCTAGCAAGCTATGTTACCAGAAAGCCTGGCAGCACTGAAGAATGGCAAGAGAAGACAGCGGTCTTGTCAGGTGGGACACTAATATGGCTCCCATTGCTCTGGTAGAAGTGTACCTCACAAACACTGGTGGAGTTAGCTTCATAACCTTTCTGTGGAAAAGGGAAGTACTATTTGTCCCCATTTTGCTGGTGGAGTATTGAACCACAGAGAGACTAAGTAACTTAAGGTCACGCACACAGAGTCTGTGTCAGAGTCAGGAACTGAATCCTGATAATCTAAGTGCAAATCAAGTGAATTCACCACCACTACACCATCTTTCCTTAGGGATAGGACACAACCCTTACAGGTGTACAGTTATAGGTTAACATGACAAAAAGTAAGTCTGTGAAAGATAGAGGAGTTTACAGGAAAAATTCCTCACCAACAAATCCTGGTGAGCCAATTCTGCCGGAAGGTCCTTGCTGCCCTGGAAGCCCTGGGAATCCATGCAATCCTGGTCGTCCTGGCAGACCAGGCAAACCAAGAAGACCTGGGGATCCTCGCTGTCCTTTGGGTCCTGGAAAGCCTGGAGTACCACCAGTTCCTAAAATATTATACCAAAGCAATTCATTCTAGGGTTCCAATATTTTCTAGATAATAGGGTTATCAGACAACACTTTTATTAATCAGTGTGTATATACTTTGCATAGTATAGTATTCACATTTCAGAGCTAATTATTTTCCATCAGAAAATATGACAACTTTGGAAAAAACAAATTAAAAATTGATCAATTGTTTAGTAATTTACACTCAAAATTCTAGTTACTTCAAACAAATGGGAACAGCCCTACATTGGCAGGGATTTGGACTTTATAATCTAGGTCTTTTCCATTTCTATGATTCTATTCCCTTTTTTCTGTATCTGAGATAAGTGACTGAAACACAGAAATAACACTCATAATTTTTAAAGTAACATTTATGTATTTTCAGAGGTGGATAAAGTAAGTTTGATAATGGCTCCTTGTTTCATGCTGTTGTTCAAGGATTCTACAGCCATCTGGGAAGATCATAGTGATTGTCATGCGATTTGTATAATACTTAGACACAATGGGCTGGTTTTCAGTTCTTGGTGCATTGTGTGGCCATTTACACCTCTGTAAAATGAGATCAAAGTGGGTGTAAAAACCCATACCAGATCAGTAAGGTACCATTTTAAATTCACTTTGTAGCAGTGTAAAAGACTGCAGATGAATAAGGCAATCGTGAATCAGGCCAAGTGAACCTGCTTTTCTCTTAAGGTACATTTAGAGAGAAGGGTCATTTTGGGATAACTTCTGTTATTTCAAAATAACTATGCAAGCATCTACACAGCTAGCCTGTTATTTTGAAATAATTTCGAATGCCTCTTTTGGAATAGCAGTAGTGTGGATGCTCCACTACTGCTATTTTGAAATAACTCCTCCCCTATGCCATTCAAAGTAATTACTCCCCGGTGCTTCCTGGGGCTCCAAATTGAGGAAGCATGTCCACATTGGGGAGCCTGCCTCACACTAATTTCCAGGCTTCCCTGTAGTGTAGATGGGCTATTTAGAAATAAACTATTTCAGAGCATTTCTTCCAGAATAGCTTATTCTGAAATAATTGTGCAGTGTAGATGGTCTAGATGGTACAGGTCCTGTCGTGAGGGCAGGGGACTTGACTCGATGACCTCTCGAGGTCCCTTCCAGTTCTAGTGTTCTATGATAGCCTTACTTATCTTGGTTACACACCCATGTAACTCAATTGACTTAAATGGAGCTATTCAACAAAGTGAGAGTTTTATTTGTGAGATAAATAAGAGATAGGTCTCTTCTCTGAAGCATCACAAATTTAAATAGTTAATACCCATCAAAGGACCACTGACATCCACTATTTTGTCCCTTTAACTCTGCATGCATGGGAGCCTTTGTACTGCTTTACTTGTGAACTGCATGCAGTATGAAACCTGCCAATTCTTTGTACCCCAAGAAACACCCATCTTACACTCTCTTGCACACTAGTGAACAATGCAATCTTACAATAGACCATCATTCCATTGAAGGAAACAATCTTGCACGAGCCTTTATCTAACACTGGTTTAGATCAAGCAATAGAACTAGTTTATTAACTAGAGAAAGACAGATAAGGGATTTACAAGTAGCAAAACATAAAGTTCAGAAATGTTTACAAAAGTAGTAACTGATAAAACACACAACCTAATTAGTGTAAGATTTGAAGAAAAATGCTTGTTCAATCCACCAGATACTAGAGACAGTTCACAGTTCTTAGTTTACAGGTTAGATTTCCTTTTAGCCTGAGTACTCCCCGTAATTTAGTGTCCTTCAGGTATCCATTGATGGTATGAGTAGGAAGTTTTAAGGTGAAGAGAAGAGGTAGTGTACGTGTTATGAATTCTCTTTTTAAAATAACTTTTTCCCCTTTTTTAATACTACCCCTAACTGGTATTCAGATAACACTTAGTCAGTTTGCACTGGCCCTCCAGGTGTTTTCAATTGCTAGGTACAGTTCTTTTTCTCACCCTCCTTCAGGCGAAAGGATAGCTGCTTATCTAGGTGATTGAGGTGATAGTTCCTGATGTTCATTTGATTGTGCTGATACTTCATTGTGCCTTTTACTGAAAAACTACTTTGATCCTGCTTTTTTCACTTTGAAATAAGTTACAAGGTGCTAGGTTGCTCTCTTCATCCCCTCATCCTCTGCAAATTTTTGCCTTCTCGGAGATGTCCCAGCAAATGGAACACTTCCAAACTGTGGTCTGCCAAGCCACCTCTTCTCATTTAAATCGCCCCATAAAAACTGTCCCTTCCAACAATGCCATGGAAAAGGGTTTGATTTTATATCATATCTGCCTCTTTTTCTGTACATATTTAAAAAGCAAAACGTAGGGACACAATACTGGAAGGGTGCTTGTGAATCATGCAGTCTATTTACTTGCTATTGCAGGCAATCCACGCACAAAGTCCTATACATAACATTAAGACGATGCTTCTTAGAACTGGTGCACTACTCCCTCTTGGAAGCTGTATCAGAACCATACTCCTCTGTTGATTAGAAATCTTACTTCCAGTCAATTTATTCATAGCCAGTTTATACCCTTTTGAACTTGTGCTCACATTAAACATTTAGCATGAACAGCTCTTACACATTTAAGTTAATAGCATTTAAATATGGAGTTTAAATAGTCTTTTCCTCCACGGTGTTTACCTGCTGAGGCCTGACTGCTGTAGGCTTATGATGGGAAAACCCTTTTTGCTTTTCAGTTCACTTGTAAAGTTAATAGACTCATAGAATCACAGGGTTGGAAGAGACCTCAAGGTCATCAAGTCCAACCCCCTGCTAATAACTGAACCAATCCTAGATATTAATTTGCATATTATCTTTTTATTTTCTTTATAACCAGTTCTGACTTGTATGTCACACTACTTGTAATCACTTTTAATCTACCTTTCTATAATTAATAGATTAGTTTTATCCAGACAGTGTGTTTGGATTGAAGTGTCTGGGAATCTCAACTTTAGACGGCAGGATCTGTCATTTTCCACTGATGAAATGACAGAGTTTCTATAAGCTTCTATTGTCCAGAATGAGCAATATGGACAGTACAGGACACTCATTGTCTGAGACTGGGAATTTGCTGGGGTTGCCGTGCAGGTAATTCATGAATGATTGGCCAAAACCAGGAGGGATTTTGCATGCTGGAGGTGCGTGTGGACAGGCCAGGAGTGGGTGTTTTCATAGCAAAGCAATCTAAAGGGCACCCAAGATTGGAAAATTGAGGGGACACAACTATTCAGCAGTCCAGATTGTACCCTAGGGAATGCCACTTAGAGGCTACTATGGAAATAAAGAAGAAAAATGAATGATGCAATCAGCACCGTAACCCTTCTGTTCTTTGCTGTGGGCCAGATTTGATCACAATTATCTTGTTGAGTGGTACCATACTTAGTGGTACCATGCTAAGTCAGCCCATTAATATAAGCGGGACAACTTGTGAAATATTGTAACCTCTCAACTTCATTAAAACTGGCAGAATCTGGTACTTTGATACCACATTTTAGTTGATTTTCCTTTGTCCTGATTTTTCAATGTGCTGCAGTGTAGATGCTAGAAGCTGGGGAGTTGGGCAGGGGACACTCATGGCTTTTGGCACCTTGAGAAGGTATGGGAAGTAGTTTAGGATTGTGGGATAAGTACATTAGCTGGATGTTTTGCTAACCTGATTAGCAGCTCTTTTGCCAATTAACACAGAGTCCTTCCCATTAAAGCTTTGGTGAAATCTGGCTACATTCATGCCTTTTCTTTGGCTGATACATTCTTTTATATAAAATAACATTTACCTCTAATTCCTGTTACTCCTTGGTCTCCTTGTACACCTTTTAATCCTGGGAGTCCAAATTCTCCAACTTCCCCTCGGGTGCCTGGTGCTGCTCCTAAAATTTCACCTGCAATTCCTTTTGGTCCTGCAGGCCCTGGTGTACCTGGTTTTCCTGAACTGCCTGGTTTGCCCTGTAATCCCGGTAGCCCTGGAGGGCCTCCATCGCCCCGAGGTCCAGTGAAACCTAAAGACAAAACAACAATCCCCATGTGGCTAACCATGACCAAAACATTGCATTCGCTATTAAAAAGTGTCAGATGCACCATAATAATGTCAAATATTGTATGTAATAATCATTTTCATTTTTTTAATCCCACAGCCTTTTTGCTGAATGTTATTGCAGGAAAGTCTGTATTGCTGAAATATAAAACATCTATATGTAAACTGTCAAATATCAACAGTGGATATATTTATAAAAGCACCTCATTGACCTAGTGTTTAGATTCATAAAGGGACTTAGGAACCTACCTGCCTTATTAGGCAACTAAATCCAGCATTTAGGCTCCAGTGGCATTCACAAAACCATTGCTCAACTGCTGTCTCACTCCAGTGTTGCCTAAATCCCCACAGGTTCTTAAAGTCTCCACTAGTGGGCAGGCATAAAGCCACCCTATCTTGATGCTGCCTCACATCTAATGGTCTTTTTACCCCTGTGCTCAATCCTAAATCCTAGCCGGATAATCACCCTAGCCTGATCCACTATACATGCTTAGAGCATGCCTCAGCCCCCTCAAAATAGAGCTAGGGGCAATCATGTGTGAAATTTTTAGGGCTGGTTTGCAAAAGCATCCTCCAAAATATCAAATAGTTCAGTGGTTAGGGAATTTACCTAGGAGGTGGCAGGATGTATTTTTAATCTCTATTTTTCCTGATTAGAGCAGGGACTTGACTCTGGGTCTCACACATTCCTATGGAGTTCCATAACAATGGGCTACAGTGTTAATTTTTTACTTTTTCTTTCTTTCTTTCTCTGACAATGAATGTTCAATTGTACAAAGCGGAACAGCTCCAATGGGCAATACTGAGAAAAAGCTATCCAAAACACTCCAGAGTCTGGTTGCTGGAAGCTATCCAAAACACTCCAGAGTCTGGAGTGCCACCTAGGATTCTGATTGCAGGAGATCTGGGATTAAGTCCCTGCTCTAACCCAGACATAATGGAGGCTTGAAAACTGATCCCAGCCAAGTGACCTAATCATTGGGCCAAACAGATTGGAAGTACCCAAAGAACGGCTAGTGACTTCAAGATACCTGGAGGACCTGGTAATCCCTCACGACCTGGATCACCTTGGAAACCTTTTAACCCTGGAAATCCATCCAGACCTGGTTCACCTGGAATTCCTTTAGCACCTTTGGAACCTAAATTAAGCATATAAAAGTAACAGGAAATCAAATGCAAACATAGACAACAAATACTGGCATAAATACAGATAAATATGCTCATAAATACCCTATTTATGTATCTTAACATTTCAGGATCATTTTTATCACATTTTATCTTCATTTTATGCACATTGAAATAATTTACACCCTAAATGTATCACGAGGAATTGCAATTTACTTTATTGTCTCTTATCCTTCACAGTAGTTTTTCTGCATTAATTTGCTAGCTGTTACCAAATAGGATGATGTTACTTAGTTGAAGAACCACAGTAATTTATTTATTAATTTCTAAATAAAATTTTAAAATTCAAGATTATTTTATGTTTGCTGTTTATTTAGTGGAAAGTTCCATTTAAAAAAAGCCAGAACTAAGGAGCTTTCTCAGATCTTTGCTGCTTGAATATCACCTTCCTAGTCCTAACACTATTCCATACATCCCTCAATGTTATGAGCAGCAAGTTCACTTACAAAAAATACTAGACTGCAGTCATAATTACAAAATTTCAATGTGCATGCCTCCCAAATTCCATTGCTAGCATTCAGTCTTACTGTCCTATGATAAGCTACTTACATTTATTCCACTCGTTGTGCTAGATAAAAAGCCTCTCTATAAAAAGGTGCCAGCAGGTGCAGAGAGCAAAAATATCATATTTCAATAACTGATTATGCTATGGTAGCTAGTTTTACCTTTTAGCACCAAACAACAATAAGGAAAATATATTTGATTTCATAACTCAATTTAGTTTAATCCAAGTGTTGCCAAATCTATTTCAATGTATGGTTGCAAGTGAAAACAGGAAGGGCAGTTTGAGTATCCTTTTATAAGAACAGTTTCACAGACCCTCAAGACAGAACTTAGGGTAGGCTGTTTGTGTCTTGGGACAGGACTTAGAATAGGTTATTAAATACAGTGTGAGTAATTTAATAGGAACTCAAGTATATAAGACTAGAAAAATTCCTCTTTTCTGGCTATACTGTGTCATTGGCACACAAGTTACTGAACCAGTTCATTAACTGTACATGGCACAGTTACATGCCTAGCTGAAAAAAGGCAGGAAATGTTATAACCAAAAGAGAATAATAAAAGGTAAAGTGAAGAAGTGGGCTGTGCCCTCGAAAGCTCATGATACCATCTACATGTTTTGTTAGTCTTTAAGGTGCTACCAGACCATTTGTTGTTTTTTAAGTTTTTTCTTTTTTTTTCTGTTACAGACTAACTTGGCTAGCATAAATCTGTAGCATAAATCAGACACTGATAATTTGATGAGAGCGTAAATTAGTGTAACTTTGTGTAATTCTAAGGGAGTAAAAGGACAGAGTTATGGCAACAACAGGTTGTTGAAATGGCATAAAATCAGGCTATTTACTCTTCCTCATGTTTAATATTTAAATTCCTTAGGGTTGAAGGAAAAACGCCATGGAGACCGCATTCATTGTCACAGGTTGGCAGATTCTCTTCCCCTGTGCCAACGGAGGCTGAGGGGAAGGTGGACTTTAAGCTCACTCTGCCTCTGTTTGCTCCCTTGCTCTGGTGTGAGGAGAATCAACTGGGGAACAGCCACTGCTCTCTCCACTGCCTCAGAAGCTTCAATCCATGAGGTTCCTACACAATTCCTCAGGGAATGGAGGCTGCAGGGCAAGGTTTCCTGTAAGATGTGCACCTATGAGCTTGTGCAGCAGTTTTCTGAGCTCCACTTCGAAGTTCAAAGGTTCCGTGCAGGCAGAGAGCACAGCTGATCGGCAGGAGGAAGGGACATCTCACTGAGCAAGCAGCTACACTGAACTAGCTGCCTGCTTGAACTGAGGAGCTCCAAGTGCCAGTAAAAAGGGAGATAAGGAGACAATTAGTGGCTGGGAGGATGCGGAGTGAGTCAGTAATTAATTAATTGGCTGATGAGGAGTCAGAGGGGAGGGGAGTTTAGAGTGTTCCTCTGCAGAAGGAGAGAGAGAGGCAGAAACTCAGCATTCTCAAGCCTCCTGGGAAGGGGGAGAGAAGGGGCTGACTGAATGGGGGAAAGAGAGGGTGCTGACATCTGTGCAGTGAGGTAGAGGCACAGGACAGTTTGGGTACATCTAGACTACAGGGTTTTATCGACAGAAGTTTTGTCGACAGATACTGTCGACAAAACTTCTGTCGACATAGAGCGTCTAGACTACATTCAGTTCTGTCGACAAAGCAAGCTGCTTTGTCGACAAAACCCTGTAGTCTAGACACAATCCTACATGCAATAACACCTTCTGTCGTCAGAACTCTGTCGACAAAAGGTGTTATGCCTCATAAAATGAGGTTTACCAGCGTCGACAAAACTGCTGAGTTCTGTCGACGTTATGATGACAGAACTCAGCGGTAGTGTAGACGCAGGTATAGTTTTGTCCACTTTTGTGGACAAAACTCTATAGTCTAGACACACCCTTTGTTTGGGCTGTCTGATTAGCAACAGTCCTCTGTCTGACTGGGTTGAGGGAGGGAGCAGGCTGCAAGGGAAGAGTGTGTGCCAGGACATTTACATGAGTGCATTTCAAACAAAGTTTGCATAAGGTGTTAATGGCTTAAGGTAAGAAAGAAAAAGATTCTTTTAACAGGATGTTTCTGGAGTGTTTGTAGATATCTATAATGTTGAACTTACTGATTTTTAAAAAAAATTGGTGTTACTAATTAATACATGGTATATTGTATTGCGTTAGGGCCAGATCCTTGGTATTTGGTAGAGTTCTAGATCTTATGAGCCAGAAGTAGCAAGTACTAGCTTGAGCTGCTAGGTTGATACATGTACTCCAAGGGTAGTGTTATTTTTTTAAAATTTCATATTAAATACTATAGACATTGGTCTGTGTTAAATATACCTTGTTTTAATATATTTTCTTCCACACATATGGACTGCTTAAAATTATGTGTGTTTTGTCTGTATTGGTAGTACACATCCACACACACACTCTACCTCAATACTGGTGATGCTCATAAGAAATTTCAACCCACCCAAAAGATAATTCAAACTGTCCAGGATAGAAAATGTTAGCGGGAACATTGGTGCAGGGTAGGGTGGGGAATGATATCTCCTCTCTATTCCCCTATGCCGTGTATAGAACCAGGACACAGTCCAGCGTAATGGTTTTTATTAAACTTTAAAGTGCCACTGATTTTTTTTTAAGGCATAAGCGTACAATTGAAAGAAACATGACAATGATGAGGAATCCATTAGGATGGTGACTAATCTGTCTTGAGAGAAGGATAAACTGGCTGAGTTAATAGAGGACTGTTGCATCCCCAATATTTCTTCTACTATAGAAGGCATATATCATCAGGCGTGTTTATTTTGATTTTTGCTGTTCTCTTAAAAGACAACAGCTTAAAGCTCACTCTCCAACTCCTTATAGTGGATGCCAAAATGATATTCACAAACAGTGTAGATTTGTGACTAAATGTAATGACTTCATGGAGAAAACCATCGTTGGTGGCTGATTTTGTTATGGAATTGAAATTCATGAGTTGAAGGAGTGTTACTTACTGTGGTACACTTGATATATATTTTCCTTTGTCTGCCCTCCTAAATTTTGACTTAGCCTCTTTTATTTTCATTTCTAAAATATACATGTAGTCTAAGAGTACAACTACAGTTGGGTTTAGCAAAAGCTAATGATAATTTAATGTGTAAGGTAAACAAGTGTTTCAAAAGCAAAGACGCAATATTACCTACAGCTCCCGGAAACCCTGGCTTTCCTGGGGATCCTTTTGGTGTTCTCACACATTGTGCCCCTACAAAGGAACATTATTAGTAGAGCTTCACATAATCATCTGCTGCCTCTCTCATTGTTTTTGTGAATTACCATAACATTTCTATGATTAAATATATAGAATTATCTCAATTACTAACATGATAAAAAACAAAAGATGTATTTTATCTTTTTATATAGAAACGTGCAGCATAGGTCATGATGACAATGAATTAAAATGAACAACTTTTCTTAATTCACTGGAAACATTGGTGTTTAGTTGCATAGTGGAAGTGTCATCATTTGTGATCTTAATTTTAAACAGTTTACAGATAGAGTTATTTCCAAGAAATAGCAACATCAAAATTAGTCTCCACAAATCAGTAAGCACATTGTCATCTCTGTGTGCCCCATCCACCTAAATTGTAGAATCGTAGGGCTGGAAGGGACCTTGGGAGGTTATCTAGTCCAGCCCTCTGCACTCATGGTAGATCTATTGTCTATTAAATAATTACAATGTTTCCAAGCCATCTTATTTCATGTACTATACCTGGCCAAACTGTTTTGGTGCCATCTCCCCTAGAAAGATCTTCAGTAACTTGGTTACAATCTACCAGGGTAGTATGAAGAAAAAGAGTAAGAGAAACAAGCAAGACAGATTTTTAGCATTTTAACAAAAACATTACACAACCCAAACTTCTCAATTCTAATTGCAGATGTATGTCCAAATTATTGTGTACTGGATAATTCTCGTAAATTAAAGAATGAAAAGACAGCCACTAGTTTTAAATACTTGGAAACATGGTGAGCCACATCTAATTCTAACAATAAAGGAGAGTTCATGTAATGCAGTAAACTACTCGGTTTTGCAATACAAGAAGAAATCGTATACAAAATTGCTCACATATGGGCTATGTCTACACTGGCGTGTTCTTGCGCAAGAACCTGCAGAGAATCCGCACTGCCTGCCCACTCTTGCGCAAGAAGATTTACAGTACGGCATCAGAAGGCAGGGCTTCTTGCGCAAGAGCTACGCTCTTTTCTAACAAGTGTAAGCTCTTGCACAAGAGGGCAGTGTGGATGCACAGCAGGGGCTTGTTGCGCAAGAAAGCCCTATGGCTAAAATGGCCATCAGAGCTTTCTTGCTCAAGAGAGCATCTACACAGCCCTGGATGCTCTTGCGCAAAAAGCACATGGTATTGTGAACGCGTTCTTGTGCAAGAGTTCTTGTACAAGAACCCACCAGTGTAGACGTTGCCTGGCTGGTCTCCATGGCTGTCTAGCAACAACAGCACCAAATAATCAAGCGGACCTCTGACTGGCTATCAAGATCCTAGACCAGAAGTGGGGTCAGAGAGCTGCAAAGAACCAATATGTATGTCCTGATAAGGAGCTGAGGGTGGATTCAAGATGTTCTCTTATCTTTTTCTGTTTTCTTAATTAAAGGAATAGATTTGATGGAGGCTGACCTGAGGAAAGACATGCACAACACAAGGCATGTATATGTAATATGTTGTCTCCCCTATTCAAAAAAGTTAAGGTTTTACTAACTAGTAATGCCAAATCCATGAAGTTTATTCAAATATTTGAAAGGAAATGATTGAAGTTATTTTTGTTATAATTAATACAGTTATAACAAACTCCTTTTTATTCATACATACCCACTATACTGCCTTGTCATTAAGTAGGTTTACACGATCTTTGCATATGACTCACTATTGATCCCTAATGGCTTTAACATTAGACACATGTGATCATACATACCTAATTGGGCAGGAGCACCCCGAGGACCTGGGGTACCTTGAAGCCCCGGATTTCCATATGTTCCAGTGTCACCTGGAGGGCCACGGTTTCCTTTTGGGCCAGGTAACCCTGCACCTGGCACACCAATCTCTCCTGGAATGCCCTTATCACCTGGTGGTCCTGGATAACCATGGTCACCTGGTGAACCTCTTATACCATCACCCTAAGGTAAAACAGATGAAAGATACAGAAATGGGCACTTTAACTTTGCATAAGAATAAACCTCACCCAAACAATTAAACAATTTGTATGATTAGCAATTGGTAGATGGTCAGTTTTCATGTGGCATGGCCTTTTACAAGGGTGATATCAGTAAAATATCTTTAATATAATAAAGTAACATTTTAATTTGGAGTTAAAACCATGGATGGAAACAACGCAACAAAATGTGCTTTCCACTAGAGCGGGCTCTGAGCAGGGAGTGTACATCGCTTGGGCTACTGGAACCGGTCAGTATGAATGTGACTTTAGGGAAGTCTGTGGGTTTGATTGGACAGCTGTTTACTCTGCAGAGAAATGCGTGGCAGGCCAGGTAGAATTTCATAAATTGATCGGTGTGAGACCAACATTGTTTCACAGGTCCCCACCCCAGCAACCAAATAAGGAGAAATGGGAATGAGGAGAAACAGGATGATCCTTTTCAAAAGCAGACAGAAAAACTAGGGCAGAAGAGGCAGGAGAGGGGAGAAAGCATCAAATGTAGAGAAACTGAGGCTACGTCTACACTGCTCATTGTTGTGCAAGAAGATATGCAAATGAGGCCATGCAAATATTCATTGCCATGCCTCATTTGCATACCTAATGAGCCACTGTTTTTGCAGAAGGGACTTTTGTGCAATAAGGAGCTCTCAATACTGCTTCTTCTTGTGTAAAATATCCCTCTTGTGCAGGAGCCATTCTTCCTGAAAATAAGTGGCAAATAAGTGACAAAAATGGTGACTCATTTGCATATATTCTTGTCCAACAATGTACAGTATAGACGTAGCCTGAGTGAAATCATTACAATTAGAAATGAGTCAGGCCTGGTGTATGAACCCAAACTAGATTTAGGTTGGGGTTCATGTTACAACATCTCTGAAATTTTGAGAGCTATTTTCATATGATTTTGTTATAAAATGGCAGGTATTTCTTAATCTGCTGTTCTTATGACATGCTGGCCACCTTGAGCCAAAATCTCATGAGAATAACCATTTTTTTTAAAGATTGGTGTCACAATGAAACAGAAAATAGGTCTTTTTCAGATTTAGATTTGATTGATGACAACAATCATAGGCATTCAGATATAATGTTTTGGGTCTGGTCCATTTCTAATTCTGATGTTTCAGCCCACAATTGTGCCAATGTGTGTTAACATTGTGTTTTCAGGATGCATCGCTCTGAGTGCACTGTCAGGTGCGGACCTGCAATTAATTTTTGCCTCCTCATAAGTACATTTGATTGTTCTGTGGCTCTTGAGAATGTATGAAAGAACTTTATGTAAGTATAAAAGGAGGAAAACAAATAATAAATCACTAATGGAGCAAACTGAGCTGTCTGGGATATAAACTGGTATTTATTTGCTTAAATAAAATGAGAAAATAATTGAAATAATGAAACATGTAAATCTGATATTTGACTACATCAGCACCCAGTGAAAATAAGAGGATAATTTATAATGTAGGGAGGATGCTGTACTAAATAGGTCTGTCATTAAGTATGGTAGGCAAATACTGAATATAGCTTCTACTCACTGGAAGGCCAGGAAGCCCTGGTAAGCCATCTATACCATCTTTTCCTGGAAACCCATCTTCACCTTTAATGCCAGGTATTCCAGGACTTCCTGGATCTCCTTTGATACCTAAAAAAGCGCTCTCAATGTGAAATTACTCCTGTATTGGACAAAAGGCTTGTACATAATTTGCAAATTGCAAGGGGAGTAGATTGCATGCATTACCTTTTGTTGTAGCATATCTAGAATCTCCTTTCTCCCCTTTTGGCCCAGGAAATCCAACTTCACCGGGGAATCCCTGTTGATAGCCATTTTAAATAAAGTTAATCAGAGCTATTTAGGAAACAAATGGAAAACACGCAGTTAATACATAAACTTGTTTACCAAGTGATCTCTCTGTTGTTTTTCAAAAAGCTACTCAAAATTCACTTCTTTCACGTCTTTTCCTATTAATGATCGCCTCTCTGCTGTTCCCATTCTTGTGTCAGTTTGCTGTCTCTCTAGTTTAGATAATAAACTCCTTGGAACAAGGAACTTGTCCACTTATATATCTGTAATATACCATGGAGGCGCCTGGGAGTATGTAAAATAACAATGGTCCAGATTTTTTTTTGTGCTAGTGCAGGGACATGCAATAGAAATGTGCCTGGCCCCAAAACCCCAAGAAAGGTTGAGCAAACCTATCTGCACTCTATGCAGGGTTCCGAGGGTAACTTTACAATTATCCCTGCTAGAGAGGAGTAGAGTCTGCTGAGGGAATGTACAGGCAGTCCCCGGGTTACGTACAAGATAGGGACTGTAGGTTTTTTCTTAAGTTGAATTTGTATGTAAGTCGGAACTGGCGTCCAGATTCAGCCACTGCTGAAACTGACCAGCAGCGGCTGAATCGGACACGCCTGGGGCAGAGCAGCTGGGGTG